CTTTAGTTTTGATGCAAAAACGCATGATCGCACCGGCTCTCCTGGTGCGTTCCAGCCTTTGTTTTTTTTTACAGCTATGCAATGCGGAAAACGCATATTGACGAGAGGTTGTCTGTGTGTGTTTGTGTGCGCGCTGGGCACCTGTACCGATTTTTCATCTCGAAACCTACAAAAGTTACAGGGCTAAAACTGCTGCTTAAAACTTTGGGAACTTAATCTACATGCACGTACGAGCCTCCATCTCCAAAATGGGCAGTCTTATCCGCGTGGTACGCAAGTAAGAGCCCGGCAAAGTTTTTTACGGGTAAGCTGCTAAGCAGTCTTATCCGCGTGGTACACAAGTAAGAGCCCGGCAAAGTTTTTTACGGGTAAGCTGCTAACTCGGGAATCAGAAATGCTTGGGGGCTGGGATTTTAAGGGTATGTTCACGTCCAAGTAGGTATTAATGAGCTCAAACCCAGCCCCCGGGTAAGCGTAGTACTCGCGTACAGGCCCGCTAAAAATTTTTTGGGTAAGTTCATAACTCGGGGATCTGAAATGCTAGAGAGCTGAAATCTTAAGGGGATGTCCCCCGTCCAAGTACGTATTAATGAGCTCAAACCCAGCCGTCGGGTAAGCGTGGTACCCACGTACGGGCTCGTGAAATTCTTTTTTCGGGTAAGTTCATAACTCGAGAATCTGAGATGCTAGAATTCTGAAATCTTCGGGGGATGTTCCCTGTCCAAGTGGGTATTAATGAGCTCAAACCCAGCCCCCGGGTAAGCGTGGTACCCACCCACGGGCTCACCAATGTTTTTCTCGGACAAGTTGCTAACTCGTAAACCTGAAGAGCTAGAAGACTGTAGTTTTAAGAGGATGTTCCACGTCCACTTAAGTCTCAACGACAGACATCGGGTGTGCATGGTACTTACGTACGGCCCGTGAAAGTTTTTCTTCCAGTAAGTTGCTAGCTCAGAAGCCAGGAAAGCTAGAAAGCTGAAATTTTGAAGGGTTTTCCTGACAGTTCTGGCGCCAGTCTTAATTTGTTTAGCTAGAAGCATTTGCCCAAAAAACTGGTGCTGGTATCTACAAAAA